GAAACTATACAAAGAAGGCAGATATTATTTCCTTTATTGCACATTAAGCTGTACAAGATATTGCACAATAATCACTGCAGTCAAACATCCATCATGTACTCGGTGTCACACAACTGGCTTTGTACAAAATAAACCTAACAAACAGAAAAACTAAAAAAACATTTTTTTACACTAAAAAAATGAAAAATACATGAATCTACATTTTAAGACAGCTGGCCTGCTTCCCACAACACTGCACTGAAGCATGCTTACATGCCAGAAATATAATCTTAAATATTACCAGTGGCAGTCCAAAGATTTATACAAATTATAAAATTGCACCCTCTGGTATAGAGAACTAGCTTTCCCCTTCTTGGCTTATTTTTACTCCTGCCACATTGCATACACTGAACAACAACGGAACGGCAGTGGAACTCGCACACAACAAGCATGCACAGATTTGAGCATAAGATGAAAAACTGTCACTATTTAATGGCAATGGCAATATTTTACTTTCCGAAAAAACCTAATACAACTGTTCAAAGCATAAATCGGCCCAAAACAGATAACTCAGTTTACAGTGCACTAGTTCAGTCACTTGCATGGACCTACATCAACGAGATTATCCCATGTAATGCTTCCTCTGCTATGGTCTATGCAGCAACAAAGTGAAATCCTGAGGCTAGTGTTACATGGATGATTTTTAGGAGCTCAAATACACTACCAAAATTGCAAGCAATTAAACACTAAGGGGACTACTTATAAACAACTCACAGAACCATTCGTCCTGTGTATAGATGCAAAAAGGATATATATTTTCTTTTCAGGTCAAATGTAATGTAATGTCAATCGAGATTATGGCCACTAGATGAAGCAGTGGAGCATAGGGAAACACATATGTATTTCCTGTGCTCTATCTAGAGGCCATAATGTAGTGTTACAATACATTACATTGGACCTGAAAGGATAATATAGTAACATCATTTGTTTTTGCCTCTGATCACCCCAAACATTCACAGATGTCCGCAGTCTGAAGGATCCTGCAAATAGTTTATAAGTAGAACCTCAAGAGCCAAACAGTTCAGAACAAATAGCTCCCTATGGAGCAAGCTACACCTACATAACAGGCATGTAGCAGTAATCAGCTGCAGACATTTTGAGCATTGTTTGTTGGTATAAGATTATTCCCTCCTACATTTTGATTATTTTAAACAGCAGGTGGGTACTTTATTTTATATGTTTACCAATTCATCGCTAACCACAGCATTTAATTGCTAGTGATTTTAGTAGTGAAATACAAGTTCATAAAAATAACCCCTATAGCTTGACGAGTCAGTGTGATACCTATATTGAGCACTGAGCAGGATAAATTATGGCTGTGAAGCAGAGAGAGCAGATCCAGGACAACCAAGTGGTGAGCTCCATACTATGCTCATCTAAAATTCTAATATGCAAATAATTATTCTCACCAGCACCCACGCATTACTGAGTAATCCAATTTGATACTACTAACCCTTTTTCGGCAGTGATTAACTCTATAATCACTATTTCACTGGCAATTCAGTCGCAGTAATAATAACGTGATGTGATCTTTGATGTACAGTGAGCTCAAACAATTGTATTCCTCAAGCCCATTTTAGTATATCATTCACCATGATTTTCGATTGCAAAGCAGAAGTGTCATGAATTCTACCACTGGACATGATATCAGCCCTTAGATGATGTTGTTTTAAGAATGCAGGTCTTTTAATGGAGCAATAGAATGAGCGGAAGCACAAGTGACATTTAACAAAGTCACCACGATACATACAGTGAAATGAATGTGGCTGTGACCCACAAACACTATATCACAAATGTCCAAACTCAGAAACATTGAACATAAAAATACATATAAATAACCAGCATAAGAAAAGGGTGCCTTTAAAAGTATGCTAGAGTCCTAATATAGCAAGTCTAAGACATGATGCTGCAGGAACAATAGCTGAAAACTTACTTTTTCAAAAGTCACCCTAGCTAGCACCCCTACTAAGCCATTCCATTTGCTGCCATTCTCATTGTATTAATTCCTGTACAGAAAGGTGCAAGATGAGGCATGCATTTCCTATTACCATCTCCTGCCCACACTGCATGCTGAGACTTTGGCATTGGTATAAACATACAGTAGTACGGTCTTAAAGAGGAACTTTACCCATATCTTAAAAAAAAAAAAAAAACAAACACACCTTCAGATATGTTTAGTAATGACAATCTACAAACACACTTCTAAATAATTGCCAACTTTGTATTCTTTGCATACCTCTTTGTGTTTCTCTTTTTCTCCCAGTCTTCTGACAGTGGTCATTTTTGCTAAGGGCAGATTACTAGATATCCCTTTACTTTCTTTACTTTCTGGAACTCTGGCACATGTAACTAGGACACGTGATCATGCACATCATCTCAGGGGTGGAAAATGCCTTTCCCTGAGATCTCATGATATTACAGATGAGATTTCCCAGCAATGGTCTACTGATTTAACCCTCCCAGGATGCAATACTTTGGCACATACATTATTTGTGGCAGAAGTGGCCCAGGAAGTAGATCAACTCTTTTTGTAAGTAAATGAAAAACATGTTTGTTTAACTTGTGAATGTAAGATGATTTGAAATCAGCATTCAGAGCTGCATGCTGATGTAATTTTTAGTGAAAGGGGGTAAAGGTCCACTTTAAGCAAACAAGAATGAGGCGTTTTACTGTGTAATTATTTTATAACCATTATCTATGCAAAATAGACTATTTTTTATTAGGAGAATGTGGGGGAATGGGAGCAAGTGGCAGGAGACAGCACAATAGGAAGTGTCTTATGTAGAAACCCCATTGGCTACATTGCTAAATGTAGCCAATGGCCAAACCTTTATGGACACCTGAGCATCACACCTACCTATATGGCCAAAACTAAGGGGACACCCTTCCAAAATACTGAGTTCAGATATTTATAGTAATGGTACTACTACAGAATACAAAGAGATTTTAAACAACTGTGCAGTTACAACATTGTGGCAACAGTTGGGGAAAGCCCTTATTTCTGCAAGCATGACTGTGCATTTGTGTAGATGGCCAGGTCAATACAGACATGACTTGAAATGTTTAGTGAGGAGAAACTTTAGTCCTGACCTCAGCCCTTTTGAACATCTTTTGGATGCCTTGGTAAACCCCATGCAAGCCAGATCTTTTCATCCAACATCAGCACCTGACCTCACAAATGTTTTTTTGGCTGAATGAGCAAAAAATCCCACAGAAACACTCCAAAATCTTGTAGAAAGCCTTCCCAGAAGAGTGGGGTCTATTATTGCTGAAAACATGACCCACTTCATATTACTGCCTATGGTTTTGGAATGGGATGTCTAACATGTTCATATAGATGTGATGGTCAGCTGTCCAAATACCTTTGACCATACAGTCTAATTAGCTACTAACATGCAAACATAAACTCAGATGTGGAAATAAACAGACCACAATTACTGTCCTTTTTAGATGACATTTGGTAGACCAAAATCAACACTTCTGCCAATACTTAATAGTTATCATGGCTTTGGGACTAAACCTTTTCTTTTCTAACCAAGTGACCATTAAAAGCAGTTAACCGGCAACCACATTGAGCGGTTGGCAAAACAACGGCATCAGTTGACAAATGAGTCTGCACTGAGAACACACCTTACACTAGCAATAAAAATGTTACAATAAAATCCTACATTCCACTTAGCAAACAAATAAAATTATAACATGCAGTGTGGTGTCTCTGTTGTCTCAGACAACTAAAAAAATATCTATTTCGACAGCATAAATTTCTGCACACTGGAATTAGGAATGAGGTGTGGTAAGATACCCGACTCATTTCATGTCACAATCGAGTTTAGGAGGTCTCTTCCAAGAAGTGGTTTTGTCGTCACCAACCCTCCACCCATTTTTCTATTAAACCTTTACTTTGTTGACCCCTTCTAAGAGACTATAGTCATTGGATCAACACAAGACTGAAAGGCAGTAACAGCTGTACCCATACATTTCTCTAAGAGCAGCATGATTGCCTATTGCCTCTTTGGGTAGTGCTAAGCTAAACAAAATCTTTGTGAGTCACATCACACATTATGGCTATTGAGAGATGCATGTAAGAGAAGTCAACATTTATAATCGGAACTTCTCAGTCATATTTACATTTCAGTCTGACGACAAATAAAAATTATGTGAAGAACTCACAATCTCTTAGTTATAGGAATGTTTGATCACTTGCTCGGTGCTCTTACAAAGCCAAACAAGCCAGGAAAAAAATATGAACTACAAAGAAACATTATACACTTGTTCACAAATATTGCACTAGTGGCCTATCCGTGCAAATCACACATGAGACTGCTAAAAAAAAAAATGTAATTACTGTACACACACCTGCATGACAATGTTGTTTCATGAAGTCACAGAACAGACGGTACTAAAGTCCATGTTTACTAAGTCTACCCATGCCTACAAGTACAATGAAGGCAAGTTCTATAAAATTAAAAAAAGTCTCAGAATCAAACGATTCAGATAAGCCTGTATTTATAATGAATGGGGCTTTCTAACCATGTCATGCAAATGGCTGTGTTCAGATCACTTGTTCTCATACGCACGCACACTCAAGTTCTGAAACCGGAGTCAGGTATTATTCCCCCACAAAACATTAAAAAAAGTAATAATAAACAGTCAGGTTGGACTTGAAAGAGGCACAATTCTGTGTATACTTTTAACATCAGCTTAGAATCACAAGATTAATGAAAATAGAGAAGTTAGCATCACAGGAGCAGACAGAAGGAAGAGACGGACTAGACAGAAAGAGGGGACACTGCATAGAAAAACACAGTCCAGGTCAGCACTGAAACCATGGCAAGAACTGCACAAAATTTAGGATTTTTTTTTGTTTGGCTAGACTCCCTCTTCAACAACCCCTCACACAGCCTGGGCTTGCTTTGGTCCTACTGCAACGCCATTACAGTCGAGAATGTACTGCAAACAACCTTGGGGTGGAGGTCGTTGGGCTGAAATCTTGTTCTGCTCAGATTCGTTCATCATTCCGCTCTGCAAGATAGAAAGGAGAAACAACTGTTAGATTCAGGGCTTTCTTATTACTAGTTACGTGTTCACACTGATCCTGTTAGAATTAAAATTTAGCCTTGAAATAGTCAGGACGTCATTTTTTTTTTCATTTTGCCCAAGGCTAGCTGTATTGCCTCAGGCTACCCTGCTACTTAGAGAGACTTTGTCACTTTGCCCATTCAGAACAAAAAGACAAGTTAACAAACACCCCACTCTGATACTTACCTTTGCCCTAATCCCCTTACCTCTCTTGCTCCATCAGAACCTTCGAGAAATACTTGGTCCTTCCATGGGGGAGCAGGTGACCTCTTACCTTTGCTTCCAGAATGCAGTGCTCAGTAGATATGTGCGATTCGGTTCGTTCCGAAATTCGTTTTGGACATTCGGAAATTCGGAGATTCGGATGCATCCGAATTCCGAATTACAGCTAAGACGAATGCAAACGAATCCGAAATTCCCGATTTCCCGAAATTCGTTATTGGACGAATTTCGTTGCAGCAAAATGACATTAGGAAGCCACACATCTATACTTACAGTACAGAGGCTATAGAGTAGTGGTTAAAGCACAGGCTTGCCATTGCTAAGGTTCTAGGTTCAATTCCAGGGCGAGTTTGGGGCGGGAACCTCAGGCTTTTTTTTTTCCTCTTCTGCAGACTGTCATTTTTGTTCCCCCTAATGTCATTTGGATGCAACGAAATTCGTTATTGGACGAATTCTGTTGCAGCAAAATGATTTTTTTTTTTTTACAGTCTGCAGAAGATGAAAAAAAAAAA